ACAAGGTCACTCAGCTAGTAAATAACAAAAGCAGGATTCAAACCTAGATCTAACTTCTGAGTCTGTATTCTTATCCAGTAATTTCCATAACTTTGGCATATCACACAACATGCAATGGTAAACTCAGAGCCAAATGAAGTGGTTTCAGTCAGAAGAAATAGATGTTTAAATAATAAATTATTTTTAAGCAAGGGTGAAGTGAGAAATGAAGCTATAGGGGAAACAAAAAAGCCAGTTCATGGAGGACTTGTATGCCATGTATGAGAACTTAAACTTGATACCATGGGCAATCAGAAGCCACTGAAGGTTTCAAATATAGAAGCATGATCATTGCCTGGTATGGAGTCTGTCTTAATAAACAAGTGAATAAATGAGATTTGCTTTTTAGAAAGACTGACTTGGTGACAGAGTGGAATATGATTAGGAGGGAAGTAAGCCTGAAAGTAGGAAAAGTACTTGTAAGAGTTTGGAAAAAGATGTCAGAGCCTGAACCAGTGAGTGGCACATAGGAGCTGGCTGGTACTGGCCTGGACAATCAATTATATATATCTTTTCCCAACTTCAGGAGTAATGATACCAAGTTGGTAGTTTGAAATCAGCCATGGTAGGAGTGTCTATATCACAGACCTCAGCAAACACAAATTAGGGCTTTCTTTTTGAGACCTGACTTAACAACATATTACTGTCCTGAACAAAAGCAGCAGCAATTGGACTGGAGAAGAAGGAATACTTACTAGAGGGGTTAATGAGGTAGAATCATCAACACTTATCATTAGCTGGTTGATGGGGGAGAAGTTATGTCACCAGCTAGACCCCTGACCTTTACTGCTCACCTGCTAGTACCTACTGACCTTTGTCCCACATTTTTCCTTAAGCTCTTCTTTCTAGCTTCTCTCTTAATTCAGGCAAAAGACACAAGGGGAAGGAAACCGAAACTACCCCTCAAGCAATGACAACTGTCTGGGCAAAGAGTTCAGTCAGCCCAGACTAATTTGAGATTAACCCCAACTCACACCTGCACAGATCGACCATAGAATGACTGACAGTTACCTTTACCTCATTATAATACTAAAATCTCCATCCAAGGAGGAACACAAATCTCATTTACATATGATGTATGTATAGCCATGTTTCTTTAAGGTGCATGCACGACCCTATGCCCACCTCTACATACAATGACAAAGCTTCCCTATCTAAATATTCATCCTAACTCTAAATAAAAGGAACTCATTCACCCTTGCTCAGAGAGTCATAGCTTTGGAAGTTTATTCCCCATCATCTCCTTATTTGCTGCAAATAAAAGTTTACTTTGTGTCACAATTCCATCTAGTATAGTTTCTATCTGTGACTCGCCAAAGACCAAACTCATGTTAGTTCAGTTACAGTGGCAATGGGAGATATTATAAAATGATTTATCAAGTTATTATCTTGGATGATTCAAATGGGATACAGGTGCTTCTTTTTTTTTTTTTTTTCCATAGCATGTCAGGGTTTTATTTTTTTTTTAATTTTTTTATTTATATATGAAATTTATTGTCAAATTGGTTTCCATACAACACCCAGTGCTCATCCCAAAAGGTGCCCTCCTCAATACCCATCACCCACCCTCTCCTCCCTCCCACCCCCCATCAACCTTTAGTTTGTTCTCAGTTCTCAACAGACTCTTATGCTTTGGCTCTCTCCCACTCTAACCTCTTTTTTTTTTTTTTTTCCTTCCCCTCCCCCATGGGTTCCTGTTAAGTTTCTCAGGATCCACATAAGAGTGAAACCATATGGTATCTGTCTTTCTCTGTATGGCTTATTTCACTTAGCATCACACTCTCCAGTTCCATCCACGTTGGTACAAAAGGCCATATTTCATTTTTTCTCATTGCCACGTAGTATTCCATAGTGTATATAAACCACAATTTCTTTATCCATTCATC